CGCTGGCCATCTCTACAGTCTTTGTCGCCTTATGCGCTGAATTCATGGTATGCATGCATCTGTGGTTGTTAGTGTCAGGCTGACAGTCTAGGTTGGTTCCATTGACGCTCTTACGGAACGCGGCGGCATCTCGGAGACATTCGTCGGGCTGATCCTGCTTCCTATCGTCGGTAATGCGGCCGAGCACGCCACGGCGGTGACGGTGGCATGCAAGGACAAGATGGACCTGGCGATTGGGGTGGCTGTGGGATCGAGCATGCAGATTGCTCTGCTGGTTCTTCCTTTGGTTATTGTGATTGGATGGATTATGGGTAGGCATCTCTTCCTCATTCCTCTAGGACCGTGACTAATCTGGCAAAGGTCTTGAAAATATGACCTTGTATTTTGACGCGTTCCAAGTGATCCTTCTCTTCGTCTCTGTGCTGCTGGTACGTCTCATCGTCGGGTTTATGGCAGCTGCTAATTCCTTAGGTGAACTATCTCATTGCGGATGGAAAATCGCACTGGCTCGAGGGCGTGCTGTTGATGATGATGTATTTGATTATCGCCGTGGCTGCTTGGTATGATTATCGTCCAGATTTGGAACTACTGCTAACCAGTTCCACAGGTTCTATCCCAGCAAGAGCGACACAACTGGTTAGTATCATACGAGCGCGACTATAACTCATACGTTGGGAGATACCCTTGCATTTTCATGTACTTTATTCTCGTTCACCAATCTACTAGTTTCCATCAATGTCCCTAATAATTGAGTACAAGAACCTCTATGGATATATCAACCATTGCATATTGCAATTGAATAATTCAGACCAACACAGCAACGAAGCAAAAGCATAGCTAACATGGATACCCCATACAAACCTAGATACACCGGCTAAACAAAACCATCACATCACATCACACATGAACTACGGACTAGCAAGAATCGAACACACCTCTAACATATTACCTGAGAACACTGAACCGAACCCAACACTGAATAGATAGCAATTGAATACACACCCTAGACCAAACACTCAGCCAATCCAGACCCTAGTGCCCCCGACGGGTAAACATTCAGGAGTCAGGACTACTAGGCACGTGCACCTGCCTCTCCATGAACCAAGGGAAATAGCCAAGGTCCCCGGTCCCCGGTCCCCCGGGGGCCCTGCGTCACCATCGGCTTATGAATAACGGCCTGGCATATGGATCAGCCATTTGCGGCGCCGGAAGGATTGGCTTGACTTCACCTGCGAATGCCACCTAGTTTGTCTGGGACTAGGACTCTGTAGTGAGTGAGTAGTAGTGAAAGCTTCAGCGGTTCGATCATGGCATCTACCGAATCCTCTTTGTTGTACTTTTATCGATATAGATGGGTTCGGGTGCTAGTAGCCTAGACCTAGTTGGACTGGAGTACTGTAAAGCTAACGCTCAAGTCTCAACGCTCAACGCTACAGTTCACTGGTCTATTGCGGATAGTCTACGGAGGAGATACTCCGTGGTGCGACAGGAGTATCTGATCTGAGTCTGACTGACAGTGACAGTGGCGGTATATCTCCCCCGAGCCGACAGTCCGACGGCGACGGGAGTGGTGCAGTACACGAGAGGTGGCGCTGCGCAGCGAATCAGACGACGGGTGGGGATTAGCCGGGGAATCGGGTTATCCTAATAGGAATAGATTCAGATTCAGATTCAGGTTCAGATGCGGCCTTCAGCGGCTGGTGTGGTGGTTGAGTTGCTGGACAAAGTACGGAGGACGAGGCCCAGGATTGTCAGTGGAGTTCAGTTTACTTCGATAGTACTTTAGTTCAGAGTATCTGCTTGCGAGGTTGTTGACTGGATGTCAGAACTGCGGTTACCAGGTGCTGGAAGGACTTTGTCTGGCTGGTAGACGGAAGAGAGGAAGCAATACCTATCTACATGATCTCATTGGCTGACATGCCGAGCAGGTGACAGCTGACGGATCAGGTTGTCGGGTGCCTCAGGCTCTTTGGTTGCGCGCTGTTTTGCCGAATTCAGTACCCTCCTAGTTCTTAATTTTTCCTCCATTGACAATAGCCGCTGATTATAGGTAAGGTAGTACCTGTAATAGATAAAGTCCATAGAATACCTAGAATAGCCGTGTGGATCGGGCATTCTCCGATGATTCGCCGGGTATTCCTGACTGGCCTGTAATTTCAAGTACTTATGTGTAAATGTGCCTGAGTAGCATGTGCTATTATGATGATCATTCACAAGTACGGATACGGATATTTGTACTGTAGTGCTAAAATAATAGCAAGGATTGAATGTGATAACTCCAACCGTCAGATTGCGGGGTTCATCGGTTCGCTTGTGCCTCGGGTGAGAATGGCTGGGGGAGCAAAGCAGCCAATCATGGGCATCGGTTAAGCCCGAAGAGCGGCCACGGGACGAGTGTCCTCGCAGTATGTCCGGTTAAAATCCGCCTGCTGGTGCAGAGTTACCTTACCTATGCTGGAGTTGCCGCCCGGGTTGCGAGTGTCGGTCGGAGGGTATCATCCTGAGCAGTCAATTCGAAAGAGAAGGTGTAAGGTGTTAAAAATGACAACTCGGCTCAAGACAAGGATTGGAATGATGCCAGAAAATCTACATTAATATAAATTATGAGGTAGTATCCGTCTATGAGGTGTCCAACTGTCACCTTTCATCTCGTGACTTGTCAACTTCTAGTAGCCCTCCTATCATCTATGAGGCTATGACTGACTCTGAACTCAACTGAAATGTGAACGCCTCTCCCCGCGGGGAAGCCCGATGCAGGGGCCCAACTCCAAGGGCCCAGATTTTTGTTAGTCATGAAAAAGCACCCATCACACGGTCGACGAGTCGGACAACTCCCCAGGGCCCAGGAATCCGAAGGTTACCCCATAAGAGGTCGTTCTCCAACACATCCCGACAAGACGAAAATGAACCCATCCTGAGGGAACGGGCAGGCTGAAGATACCCGAGGTTCTGGGGAAGGGAATGTAATGTGATTGTGGCCACTGGCACCGACCAGTTGCCGTTTCCCCTCATTTTTCCCTCGTTTGCCGTCCTTGACGAGGAAGAGGAATTCCGTTGTGACTTGTGATATTGAAAGTAAGTCTGAGTGTCTGACAGTGTTACTGTCACTGGTGCAATCAGAGTGTGTCTGTTTCCTCGGACGTAACCCCGTGTTGAATTCTCCGTAGGCGCCATCCACCCACAATTACACTGCAGGCAGTAGTGGCAGCCATCTCAGACGAGTCGACGACAGAGACCGATCGGCACGGGATGACCTGGGAATTTTGGGCACACTTGTATTACATGCTAGTGATGCTACCGGAAAGAAAAAAGAAATGATAGGTTGAAAAGCAGATGGGAATAGGATAAATCATTGATAGATCTCAACCTTCGACATCTCTGTAGAATTAACCATTTTGCCGTGCTTTAGCCAGTACCACCGTCATACGGAAGATGACCGGTGGAGATGAAATAGGCGGTTTGCCTGTTAGGTAATATTTTGCCTTACTCCATGTTCGTTCCACCACTCTGCTGGTAGCCGGCTTCTTTCGGTCCGTCCGAGGTCCTGGGTGTCCCGATATGTTCTTGACATGGGATACGGAGGGATAAGAGGGAGTATTTGAGTAGATAGCATGATGTTACATTACTATTAGATACATCAATATCCGTACATAATGGATTACTCCTCAAGGCTAAGGGCAAGGCTCAGTCGGTCGGAGGCGAACTAATGCCCCCCGCGAAAAGACACGACTGGGCCTGTTCGCCGTCCCGATGGCTGGACTAGCCCGTATTGATGGTACGCCTCGGAGCAGGTCACCAGTATTGTATTTTCTCACTTCGTTGACCAGACAAATGGTTTACAATAGAGTCAATATCTCATAACTACTATCCTAGCTAGCTCTATATAAATATTAAATTATTAAATAATAAAATCAAATTGACATTGTATACTGTGGTGTTCTACCAGAGTACAGGTGCAGTATATCGGCACTCGGGAAAGACAAGCTGGGCCCACCATAGTCTTTCTCTGTCTCTCTCTTCTGTCTCCGGATTAACACCGCCCGCTTAAACAGCCAAACTAAGAGCAGCGTCGGGCCTCCGCAATTTGCTGAAATGCGGATGTACAGTGCCTTAGTGACTGACTTACATACTGTTAACTCTACTCTACTCTACTCTACCCAAGGTATGGGAACTATCCGGGGACTGGACTGGACTGCACTTTTTCTTTTTTTTTCCCCTTTCTTTCTTTTTTCCTTGTGTGGGCGAGGTCATCGACACACATTCATCATTTGATTCATTCATTTCCCTTCATCTCTTCCTCCTCTTCTTCCTTTTCCCTTCTCTTCCTCCCCCCCGTAACTATTCCTATTCTCATCCTCTTACTTTTCCTCTACTCGCCATATCCTCCTGACGAACCACTACAATCCCGTCTCTACCCGATTTCTTTCCTTTGTTTCCTTTTTCCTCCCCCATTTTCCACGTCGCGTTGCCGGTCCGGTGCCCCGATTTCTGGCATTCCTCCTCCCCCACACTCCGCTTCTTCCGTCGCCCATGTTGAATGGTCACTACTCGCCTTCCTTGCTTCCAGCCTCGCTTCCTTGCCTGTCGTACTCTACACCTCTTCCACCTTGACCTCGTCCCCGATAATTCAGCTTCTCCCTATTCCGGTCGCAAAGCACTTCACTACGCTTGGTTTATCTATTGACCGGTTTTCTCTCATATTGTTCGCTTTTCATTGGTTGGTTCTAAGAGCGTCGCTGCCTCCAGTGCTGTGCACCGGAATTTACGTCCAAGGTTAGTCACAGTCGCTCAGTCGCTCACTTGAAGTTCAGACCATAACTAAGTTCATGCGCTTCTCAGCCGGTCATCGGCTTATCTCCTCTTCGTTGTGAGCCGACACCTTGGGCCATTTTGAAATCCGGGGATTTAACGCGAAGGCACAAACGCGGAACACCCCCGGCTGACAGCAGACGGTGTCTGCCACTCCTTTTCCTAACCGACCTCGCCTCTCCTACTTCAACATGCGATCGAGTATAGCCTGCGCTCGGTGCCGACGGAGCAAGATCAAATGCGTCAATGCCGGTATTGACACCACCTGTCGTGCATGCGAGTCGTCCGGTCGAGAATGTGTATATCCCACCCCGGCAATCGGCGTGGGCGGTGGTGCGGCCAAACGGGACATTGCCGCCTTGGCCGATGGGGAGGATCGCAACGGGGATTGGGATAGCCCCAAGCGACAGCGCTCCCGCAAGGCCGTCGGCGCGTCCGCGTCTGCAGCCAAAGATGCCGCAAAAGCCTCGCTGGAGGTGCTCGACTCGTCCGTGCTGACCGTCAAGGTCTGGGAGGCCGTCTTTGATCTTTTCCAGTCGCATTACGCCCTCATCCTGCCCTTTCTTCATCCCGCCTCATTCCTCAGTCAGATTCGGCCGCTCTCCGGTGGCACATCTTCCAGCAATGCCACCAACTCCGAAAACAACCGAGACTCCGCACAAAGTCCTCCCGCTCCAAAATCCGAACCCAACCCGCTCATTCCTCTCGGAGTCCTCGCGCTCACTGCTCGATTCCATCCCCATCTGGTCGCCTACCACTCACCCTCCTCCCCCGGCCACCCGTCGAATCCCCTCGTCGCATCCGAATTCTATGCGACAGCGCTGCGCAGCCGGCTGGCCGGCGTCGACGGCGCCAGTCTGGCGATCCCCGATCTCACACGCGTTCAGGCGCTGCTGATGCTCGCCCTCCACGAATGGGGCATGTGCCGCGGCAAGAGCGCCTGGCTCTATGTCGGCATGGCTATCCGGCTGTCGCAGGCCATGGGACTGCCGTTTGAGCTGGAGAATGAGCTCTTCCCTCGTGAGGGTCCCCGATCGCCTGCCCTCAAAGCCGAGGCGGAGCTCTTTGGCGTGCGACGCGGTCCCGAACCCAAAGAGCAGACGTCCGACGATGTGATCGCCCAGGAGACGAAGCGACGGACTTTTTGGGCGTGTTTCCTCCTCGACCGCTGCCTCAGCAGCGGGAAATATCGCCCCCGCATGATTCGGGTCAAGGAACTCGGCATTCAGCTGCCCAGCGACAACGCTTTCGCTTTTGGAGAGCGGGTGCGTACGTCGCGTCTGAACGAGCCGTCCGCCCGTCGCCCCCAGAGCTTCGGCTCGCAGGGGATGCAAATTCCCAGCATTCGCCAGAGTCTGGGAGGCTTCAGCGATGACAAACTGCCCAACAATGTCCCGCCGGACAACAAGCCGTGGTCTCCGGTCTCCCGGCGAAAGGACTCTAGCGAAGATGAGATCGACCGATGGGAGATTGGGGCGGAGGAGTCGGTGTTGAGCCGGGTGATTCGTATAGTTCGGATCTGGGGGAGTATCGCCAAGTGGTCTTGTGCCGGTGGACGAAGGTATAGACTGTCCCCCCATCGCGTCGTTACTCTGAAACTAATATTGACAGAACGGAACAACTCCCCCCCTGGCACGTCGACTCCAGGTTTTCGAAACTCCGGACGATGCTTGGCGAGTTCCAGGACGGACTCTCGCGCAATCTGCAGTACTCACCCCGAAATACCGACACTCATATCATGTACAAGAACAAGTTGGCATCCTACACGGTCATGCATGTGGTGTATTTCCTCTCCGTCATTGTCCTCCACCGCGCCTACATCCCCTTTCTTCCCGTCAGGTGCAACGAGCCAATCGGCCCCCTGGATGAGCCACTGTTCCCCGGCGAGAAGTCGGGGTCGCCGGATGGTTTCTGGAGGGACAGTGCGCGTGAGCTGTTCCGGGCCGCCCGACAAATGATGGACCTCGTGGTAACATGCCAAGAGCGCGGTGTGCTTGTTGAAAATCCTCTCGTCGGGTTTGCCATCTACAACGCGGCCTTTATCGGCATCTATGCGGCACACTTTCAGCACATGGACCTGGAGGGATCGTTGTGCCTCAAGGCCGGTGTCACTGATGGAACGCAAGGCCAGGCGCAGACTCGAAAGGCTCTCGATATCTTGCGAGATATGCGGTCTCGCCTGAAGATGGCCAATGGATGGTTCCGCACGCTGAACCGACTGCACAGCTACTTTTCCAAGGTGAAACGGGACTTCCGACGCCACTCCCGCCTGGACGCTGTTGACCCGCATACCAACGGACTTCGTCCTGTCCGGGAGGGCGGTGCCGGAGGCGGCCTCGAGGAGTTCAAGTTGCTCGAAAAGTTGTTCCTCGACTTTGGCAGCATCGACGACCGGCTGCCCGAGAACAATGCCGACGATGACGTGGCCGACCGTGCGACCAACGTCAGTGACGCGGGCAGTAACGCCGTCCGCAGTGACCCTGGCGAGATCGGCGAGCCTGCCGTCGATGGCGCGGGCGGCCGTCGCGAGTCGTGGGTCCCCATCAACAGCCCTGGCCTCCCTCTGCCGGGACCGGATGCCGAGCGGCGGCCCAGCCTGCCGTTGCCTCCGCGGGCCTTGCAGTCGCAGTCGCCTTATTCGCTCCCGTCGCTGCAGCACCATCCCGACGGTCCTCTCTACGGCACCTCCTCGCCGAACCTCCCGTCTCTTGGGCCTGCTGCGACGTATGGAGGCCCCTCGCCGACCTCGACCGGGGCGTCCCAGTATGGCCAAGTGCCACCCTCCAACCGTCTCCAGCCATTGAACTCGTGGCTCACCCGTCAACAAGGCCCGTACTCCCAGTCGCTGCCTCCTATCAACCAGGCGACCTCGCATGGCCTGCCACTGCTGCCCCCGCCTGGATCTGTCAACCACCCGGCAGCCTCGCCCCCAGTGACGGTTGACGGATTTGACGGTGTCGTCCCGAACGGCATGTGGTCGACCAGCCTTGGCGGGGATGATGTCGTCGCATTCCTGGAGGGATGCGACTCGGACCAGCTCTCTAGCATGATGCCATCAGAGGTTGGCATTCCCGCGGGGTGGTTGAGCACGGTGTGGAATGAATTTTCACGATAGTTGTTCTTTTTCTTTATTGTTTCTTGATTGTACTATATTGTACGTCTCATGTACTGTATGATTATGTCCTGACGGATGGCGCGATCGCACATTAGTGGACTTGTGTATGGACTGCGGGTCTGGTTGGGTTTCGGGTAAAAGCCATGGTATTGGTGGTTTCGGATCTCTGGCGCAAGCTGTTAATTGGATCTCTCGTGAGCGCGGCGTTGGTCTACCTTAGTATTTGGTATTCTTCAATCTCGAACATTCGTGATCCTACCTTACTTGCACTTTCTACCGAGTACCTAGTCTAAATGCCGTATGCACTGCAATCACCCATCCGATAGATGCCTCCCATCTGACCTAGATATCATCGATAACAGACCAATCAATCCTACAACACCGACCTGTCCGCAAACCCTCAAACAAAACAGGGTCCAGGGCCATCCACTCTGTTTCCCCGTGCATCGCAGGTTCACTGTGACGGCACGTGCCCTGCGCAAGCCGCGTCAAACGCAGACACTTCATCAACAACACGGCGGGTACTACCTCTTCCTCTTCCTCTTCCTGGGGAGGTAATCCCAGCGAAGGAGACGGAGATGGAAGCGTTCGCAAACCGATTCCTCGGAGTCCGAGGTGAGGTGTGGTCCGCGGAAGGGCTACAACGTCTTTGTCCTCATGAGATGATCAAGAAAGTACTCTGTCCACAGACTACTTCAGCTAGCTAGCTTCTCTGTGGAGAGTCGATGACCTATCATCTGCTGATCCTCGCCCCGGGTCCCTTATCCAGTCTCGACTATCAGTGGGGTCAGGGAGCCAGAGATAGGTAATCTATTTCCCTTCAGCAATAGAATCTAGAAGCTGCAGGTGCAGGTGCGTCTGTAGATAGGTTGATAGATAATGTAAGGTACTGAAGAGAGTGGGATGGATTGCACAGCCAGCAGAGATGGAGGACCGCGTTGGCATGGTCTTGTTGGTTTTGGGTCTAGGCTGTGATAGTACACAGGAGGATTGATTGCATGGAATGGGTTTCAGGCCAGCGAGCTTAGACCAGTACCTCTCCATTGCGGCGGCCTATCTTCGTATATGTTCCCCGGCGCCTATAGCATCGAGCTTTATCAGTCGATCAGCACGATAGTGGTTCCAAAGGTGAAAGGCTCACAATTAACTCACCCTATTTGAATGGGATGATCCACTGATATTGCCAAATAGCTTGACTAAGCGGAATGAGAGTGGCCCTGATTGGTAGGCCAGTTACGATATCACCGCTTAATAATCGGCTAAGCTTTTGTGAAATCCTCATTCTATGCCTCTCCTTCAGACCTTAGGCCTGGCCAGCTTGTCCACTAGATAGCGGAACTAGAAAACTACCCTATACAGTGTGTACACGCACAAGCAGGAGATCTGTTCCATGCCGTGCCGATAGCCGGGTTCTGCATTCCACACTCGGTTGATCCTTAACCTTAGGACCGAAGCCTGCGAACCGTGTCCGAAGCAACTCTTGTGCTTCGGTGGCTGTCCGAAATCTCCTAGGAGTATGCAATACGTAGTCGGGTCGGAGATCGGCACAGGGCATATACTCTATATATAGACCGTCGTAGCCGTCTCGTCAACGCATCATCAGAAACGCAGCAGAATGATCATCGCGGACTGGTTGCGGGAGCATTATATCAACCAAGGCAAACTTGGCGATGCCGGCAGATTGCACACAATGCAGTCGGCCGCAGCACCACCAGCAACCGAAAAAGGAATATACCTCCTGGACATCGGCCTAGGCTCAAACAACACCGACCTCCGCAAGATGTCCACGGCCGGCCGCATCCTCCGTCTGGACCCATCCACAAAAGAGCTGACCACCCTGGTCACCGGCCAATCCCACCCGGACGGCATCGACATCTCCCAATCCACCTCCCGCATCTTCTGGACAAACATGGGCAAAACACCGTCCGCGCACGACGGCTCCGTCCACTCCGCCCGGCTCGATGGCTCGGACATCCAGACCCTTCTTGCCCCGGGGACGATCCACACCCCCAAGCAGCCTGGTGGTCGACGACGGCTCCGCGCGCGTCTACTTCTGCGACCGCGAAGGCATGAGCGTGCACCGCGTCGACTTCTCCGGGTCCAACCACGAGGTTCTCGTCCGAACAGGTTCCCCGTCCAGCCCTGAAGACAGCAACGATACGACCCGGTGGTGTGTGGGGATCGCCCTCGATACGGTCCACGGGTACATCTACTGGACGCAAAAGGGGCCCAGCAAAGGCGGGCAGGGGCGGATCTTCCGCGCGGGCATCGATATCCCTGCTGGACAGACAGCGGAGACGCGCTCGGATATCGAGCTTGTCTTGGAGAAGTTGCCGGAGCCGATTGATTTGGAGTTGGATGTCGAGGAGCAGGTGTTGTATTGGACGGACCGGGGGGAGCATCCGACGGGATGTTCGCTAAACAGGGTAGATGTTAGTGGGAACATTCAGGTGGGGGAGATGCAGAAGAAGAAAACGATACTGGCAAGACAGTTTCACGAGCCGATTGGGTTGAAGCTGGACCGCGAGAAGAGAGTTGTGTATGTTGGGGATATGGGAGGGTGTGTGTATCAAGTCAGTGGGGATGGGAGGAAGTCTGTTTTGCATCAGGATAATGCTTGTTATACTGGGGTGTGTTTGTGAATAGACATAGACAGAAGGCAAATATAGACGCCAGGCTTGTTGAAGCTCCTTGTTTACTTTGATATAGTCCTGGAAAATATTGCTTTCTCTGAAGCATACAAATTCACCATACTTTTTTGACCCTGCTTGCTAAAGAACTTATTACTAGACTTTCTGCTTGTCAGATCTCCTTGTATGCAACCCACTCTTTTCTTAGGTAGGAACTGAAGCAGCTGGCTTTCTGGACAAAGCAACAACCAAAGGATAATTTGGCAATACAGCCTGCCTGGTCTTGTGGATCTATATAAGCAGGATTCTAATGTCTCTCTACCTTCAAAATATTCTTGATCAGACCAACGTATATGCAGTGGCCTGCATCATCACGTGTTCATCTGCGTTATCGTATAATTCGTATTCGTGTCCAACGGCTGTCGACTGTACCCCTCAGTAATGACCGGCGGACTGTTCACACTATATCATCTATTCCATCAGCATCATCACAAATGAAATAGGCAAAATGCAAATCATCTGGCGAGACTCCGCCAACCCCGCTGTCTACGAAGCCGCACGCGTCCGGGGCGTCTTCAACAGGCGGTGTCCATCCAAGTTCCCACGGGCCATCGTCAAAGCAAGTTCTGAAGAGGACGTCATCTCCGCCATCCAGTTGGCAACCAGCCATGACTGCCGCATTGCTGTCAGAGCAGGGGGTCATTCGTTCCCCGTGTGGAGTCTCCAGGATGATTCCGTTCTTATCGACCTGGGTGAATGGAGGGAATGCGTTGTCGACGGCGCCAAAAGAACCGCCTCGGTCACACCAGGTGTCACCAGCAAGGAAGTCAATGATATCCTGGTCCCGCAGGGCTTGATGTTTCCCGCTGGCCATTGTCCGGATGTCGGACTGGGCGGGTTTCTGCTTCAGGGCGGGATGGGTTGGAATTGTGGGGTATGTCTATCATCCGTAGACAGAACGTTGCTGACGGTACGAGAACTGGGGATGGGCCTGTGAGCGAGTGGACGCGGTGGAAGTCGTGACAGCGCAAGGGGTGAAACTTCTCTGCAATGCAGAGCAGAACTCGGATCTGTACTGGGCTGCCAGAGGAGCGGGACCTGGTGAGTTGTTCGGTCGATGATTATATCATGTCTGACTGGGTAGCATTTCCCGGAGTGGTAACGAGATTCCATCTCCGGTTGCTCCCTTACTACAGTGATGGGTTTCGATCGTCAGGGTATGTATATCCGGCGCCGTTATATCGACCCGTCTTCAGCTGGGTCCTTTCGATGGTACCGGATCTTGATCAGGATACCGAGGTTACTGCTCTATCTCAGTTTTTCAATGGCGAGCTGTGCTTTTCTGTCTTTCTTGTCTGTATGAAAAAGACGACGGGTCAAGCAGCAGAAGCTTTGCAGACGCTCCACGATACTAGAATCCCCGGAGCGCTGACGGAGTGGTTCTGCCGGGAGGATAGTTTGGAGAGCTTGTACCGAGAAAAAGCCAAGTCGAATCCTCAGGGTCACCGGTGGTGCTCCGACAGTACGTACCTTGAAACCAAGGACGTCGTGGATATACTTGAGGAAGGTTTCCTCACTCTTCCGAGTACCGACTGCTATGCATTCTGGTGCCCAATTACACCAACCAGCAAAAGGAAGCTCCCGGACATGGCATTCAGCATGCAGTCTGACCATTATTTTGCGGTGTACGCGGGCTGGGAGGACGAGCCAGACGATCAGAGGTGCCAGTCATGGTTGCAACTTGTCATGAACAAGATCAAACCACACGGGGTCGGCGCGTATATAGGCGACTCGGATTTCTGTGTGCTACCTGACCGCTACTGGACGCAGGACAATGAAAGCCGATTGAAGAAGATCCGTCAGAGATGGGATCCTGACAGTCGGCTGTGCGGTTTCCCTTGAGCTGATTTGCGCGATGATTCAGGACAAATGGGCAATATCCCATTTCCCTTCTCAGAACATAGTCCCCATTTGTCCTATACTTGTTCTTCAAGACAGTCCAGGAACGGATTTGCTGCAACAATATGAACATGCTGAGATATAATCGAAGTTGCCGGTTTGTCTTTTATTAAGAGGTTGCCATCAATGCAGTGAATGGTCTCATTCACAGTTCAATTCAGCTCGGGTATAAATATCACCATCCACCATCATCTCGATTTCTTCTCTTCTTCAAATATCCACATACCCATTGCTTCTATGATCCACAGTGCACATCTAAGTATTGCACTCAACCATTACCACACCAAATCTCATGTTACACATTGAAAGCAATGGACGTGGATTTCATGGAGCTTCGCAAAGGAGCGATTGCAGAGGCTAAGAAGAGTAAGCACTTTCTATATGTTCTGCAGCAGTGCATTCACTGATCATCAAAATCATCTGCTTTAAAGGGTCAACTAGCCCTAACCTTAGTGTCGTTAAACTCATGGACGTGATACGCAAGGTTGACTGGAATCATGACAGTGAGGGGCAACCAGTCACCAGACCGTTAGAAAACAACTGCACACTTGTCTGAGGAATCAAGCCACGATATGCATGTGACTTGTGCGTACACAGAATTCATGACCAACAGCCACAATTTTGTCTTCTGGAAGCTTGATAACAACGCGGTGGCTAGAAGACCAACAACAGGGCGTTCCAATCATGTGTTACCTCAGAATGAGAAACCGGAAGTACAAGAGCTACATCAGAACCAAGGAAATACACTACCCAGAGACCTGGATTCTATTGAGCTTATACAACACGTTGATGCCTGCCTACAGGGCATTACCCCGGCTGCCTACGCAGGCAGCGCACTCTTTGCTTCTTGGGGATGGTTCCAAGTGCAACGAGGAGCTCCTCCCTGATGATGTGACACCCTGCACACTTTACAGACTCCTCATTTGCTAGCATTACACATCCATCTAATCATCTATTCGGTCTCCAGTGCGTGAAACGAAGAAGAATCGTCCGGTATCATACTTGAGTGAAGCCTTATGACATGCTTACCATTGGTATTAAGCTCGAGGCCGTCGCGACGCTCCCTGCCTCCCAAGCTAAAAGCGAGGCCGAGGCCCTCCGGACGGTAGCCAATGCCATCAATGGTTATTGAGATGTCCGACAAATGGAAACAGCTATTCATTTTTAGAATATGACCTACAGTCATCTGCTTAACCTCGCGACTGGCGAGTATTCCCATCCACCAAACTCTTCACCAAGCTCAACTCTCACAGCTTTAATGGAAATTACCGAAAGATAATGGAAGTTGCCGGTGAATGTCTCTTATTAAGAGGTTGCCATTAATGCAGTGAATGGCCTCATTCACAGCTCAATTCAGTCAATGTATAAATACCACGTCCACCTCCAACTTTCATTTCTTCTCTCTGCATACCTCTTGATGCAATACTCATTTGTTTATAATCTAGCAGCCTTTCAACTATTTCAAGATATTCGAATCTTTTTAACTGTTCAAGATGAGTGGGGTTGATTTGATGGAGCTCTCCAAAGGAGCCATTACAGCAGCGAAGAAGAGTAAGTTGCTCTCTTCATATCAAAGACTGTTTCTCATACTAACTGTCTCCTTTGTGACAGCCGCTCTTAAGGGTCAACTCACAATGAATGACCTCAACTTTGTCAAGCTCATGGACGTCATCAGAAAAATTGACTGGAGCCATGACTCTGATGGCAAACCAGTGGTCAGACCTATGGAGGTGACCGCTCATTCATCTGCTACTCTACTCCAAGAGCGAGGTGTCAAGCCCAAAACTGCTTGCGACCACTGCATCACTCTGGATCTGTAAGTGATACTTTACTATAACTTGCAGACTGCTGACAGGTTTAGTATGGTCCTGCACAGGGATGGATTGCTGCAGGCCGAGGCCCTTGGAGCCCGTCTTCAGGGGCTGCCAGGTTCTCAGAAAGGAGGCGAGCGTCTACGAGCTCCACGCGCCTATGGGCAGGGGCAAAGAGGACGGTTGGCTGGGGAATATGCAGTACTCTGTGGCTCAACAGACGCTGCGGATTGATTTGACTGCTTACCTGGTCACGTTGGGTCTTCGAGATGACGGTGAGTGGCGGTTGACGACGGCAAACCGGCCGATCTGACCGGAGTCTCAGAAACAGGATCCAATGTCGACATCAACATCGACGAGGAACCTCCTAGGAATCTGAGGACGGGGAAGGGGCGAGGAACGCAGACCATAGCCCTGGAAGAAGAGGAGGGAGTGAGGGACCGAGGACTCCCAGGAACCAAAACCCGCCACCCCAGGATGAGCAACAAAAGCAGCCTTTAACGCCAAAATGTCAGAAGCAGAAAAAGCAGCAGTGACATCGCAAGCAAACGCTCTCTAAGTTGCATTAGAGTGAAGCATGTTGAATAGACACGCAGCTATGAAAGAGCTCATTGAATACCTGGACAACATCGTGGGCAAAGGTTGCAATAGCATTGTGACCTCGCAATCATCGTTTATTGGGTCTTAGTGATAACCAGTTATTCCCAGTTGATACTATGAGCTAACGTTCTTTTCCAAGCAACCTCATCACTCCTGATACCAAGTGAGTTCATCCAGTCACTACCGGCTACCCATGCTGACCCAGATGCTATTAGTATTGCTAGTAGCAACCAGGCTGAACCAGTTCTTACTCCTTCTGGTAGCAATCAGGCTCAACCAGTTCCCACTACTTCTGGTCACAACCAGACAAGCAATCGTGTCACCAGGAGCAAGAACCCGGACGCCACCACTTCGTCCCAGATGCCACCACCTGCCACTGGTAAACGTGCCAGAGCGAATCCTACTGGTAATGCCCGGCAGCCTTCGCAAAAGCTGGCAACTACTGGTAGAGCCCAAGAGACCCCTCGCGACCATAACTCTCCGGAAGTCGTCAGCGACGCCCAGTCCCCTATGGAAACTCCTGGTATTACTACTGTTACCAACAACGACAATGCCCCGGACGACCAGGATCTCCCAGGAATTACTGGGGAGGAAGCGTCAAGTGCGGAGGAGGCACTTGATATTACCAGTATTACCGGTCATACCACTGACTCCGAGCTTACCGACCTTAACGAAGAAGTTGAATAGTATGTTGGTAACCTTCATTTATTTATATTCCTTACCACCATCATATACGACACTACAACCAACCAGGACAAAGATCTGAAGCGACTAGCATCGCTCAAACTATGAGCAGGTTGGAAGAGCCCTAGGCCATTCTCGAGGAGCCCAGGCCAGGAAGACGACTCAGCTATACATTGGTGAAGACGATATCAGCTATAATAAGCTGATTGCCGAAGACAATCAAGGTCCTACGCGTCAAGATGCACCAATCGGAAGGCATACAGTATCCCGGCTGGATCTCCGGATAAGTCCACAGGGAGTCCTCGACTACTGCAATGCAAACAGACTTGATGCTAATGACTCCTCACACAGAGTTGAGACCAGGCAGGCCCTGCGATGTACCAAACTTGTCAGATATCGTACTGTTGCTAGCGAGTCGCGCCATGAGATTGCAAGTATTTTAGGGGACAGACCATACGCCTACATCATAGACACAGGACCCACAGCCAAGGACACTGACATTCAGGCCGCGATCAACACCGAGCTCAAGACCAGGAATGGCGGCAACATCCCTGCCTATGAGATCCGGGAGAATATACGTACCAAGAAGGGAAGGAGCACTGGCATCTTTGTGGTATGCTTTACGACACCAATCGGCCAGACAAAGAAAGCAGATCGACCACTGTGATGCTGAGGATGCGCCTACCGACTTTCCGAAACACCTCGAATCCAAAAAGCCAAGACCCAAAAAGAAAGGAACAGACAAATGAGAAGCGAGAGATCAGGAAGGAATGTATTGGATGTATGTGTAGTCAGTTTCTTCTGTGCCTCTGGTTACTGGTATACACATGGCTGCCACAGCTACTGCGCGCAAACCTGCCCCAGCCAGGCATGCCATCTCCTCGCCCAGAAGCGACGAAAGCTCGGAGTTGAAGCCAGTCATCAAGGCGTCCAGCTTTCAAGCTTCTAGCTCGCCGTGTGGAGACTAAGATGATGTATCACTGATGCTATCTAAGTGTTTGTGTACGCCATGCTTAAACAGTGGTTAGTCGGAAGATGGATGAATGGCATCTGGAGGACAAGGAAAGGCCCCGGCTAGGTATCCTTTGGGCCGGTGGAGGTCCCTACATTTGCACAACTCATTGACGCTGATAAGTTTTATTGACCTGACAAAAACAACATCGTCATCGATTATGTACAGACCTCCATCTACTGGCCCCCTTGACTGGGACCTTGTCACACCAACCCTGCCGAGCATTACGCTCATCAACAAACAGCCATCATAAAATCAGCTGCTGAGCTGAACAGGGCTACCATCTCACCAGTCTGAGCATGGAAATCAGAAAATCATCACATATGCTTACCACATGGACAACACAGAGACCGACACGAACAACACAAGCAGGACTTACCGTCCACTGTTTAATAAGGCTCCCCGACCTATGCCTTAGGTCAAAGATATTCCAGGCGGACACACTTGACATACGGGACCCCTTCACAGACAGAGGCGCGTCTACAGATGACAAGATCCTAAGCTGGGATCCGAGAGATGAAGGGGGCATGTTTCAGCTTGAAGCTGACTACTTTTGCAGTGATTCTTGTTTATGGAAATGCGTCCATGTTTGCATGTGCTATGTCTGTAATAGAGTCGATGGAGTCAAATGAGACATCAATAGCTATCCTTCATCCGCTTAAACCTCTCAACAACCTGTCGATAACTCCCCCCCTCCAACTCCTCCAGCAAACTCGGCCCGGACGGCCTCCACCCCAACCTCTCGACAGCCTTCCCATTCTCAGCCCGAATCACCCGCGCAAAGAACCCCGCCAGGAAACCCCCCCACCTCTCCTCGGCCTCCTCCCTCCCAAACGCCCTAACCTGTCCCTTATACCCACCTGACGCTCCCGACGCCCTCACGTGCTGCTACTCCTATTGGTACGCGTCTCATGTCCACACACCACCGTCACCATTTTCACTCTCA